CACTGGTTCTTCACGTTCTGTAGATGCCACCATTTCTTCACGTTCTGTAGATGTAGATGCCACTGGTTCTTCACGTTTTATAGGTGTAGATGCCGCCACCGCCATCTATTGCATGGTGGTTGAACTTACGACTCTCGGTCCGAACGGGCAACTGGACATTCGGACCCGGTTTGTTCCTATCTCTGAAAGTTGGTAAGTTGAACGTTCGTAAGTAGAGGAGTCCCTGGATATAGAAGAAGGGAAAAAAAATCCGCCAGTTGAATGCTTGCCTTCACGTTGCCTTGACGACAACCGACCCGTGTGACCTCATCCAGCCAATCGCAGCAGCCCCTTGCGAGAGCAAACGAGGAACGCGTGTCCTCTGAAACGACGTGGTTTTCGATGCGTTTGTCCCCAACGTTCGCCCAACGTTGTTGGACCAACGTTCCACATTTTACTTGGTCGACTCCGGCTGCCTCTTTGTGCCATGTGCACTCACGTCGTCCACTGTGTCTCCATCTGTGCCTTGTCGTCTGGGCGTGTGTGTGTTCGTGTGTGCCTCAAATGATACCTGGTGCGGTGTGTAAACATCGCCACTAGGGAGACAAAGGCGGCCGGGCGTGGTGCTGGCCACCCACCCCCTCGTGTACCGTTGCGGCCTTCATAGCTGCTCGCTAACAGCACTTGCCCCTACAGTCTGTTAAGGCTATATGGGGGATCTTTGTCTTGTGTCTGTGCGTTTATGTGCGCGTGTGCGTTTGTGTGTCTGTGCATTCATATGAGCGTGCGTGTGTGTCTGCGCGTTTATATGTGCGTGTGTGTGTACCTGTGCATGAATGCGTGTGCGCGTGGGTGCATACACACCTTCCTGTGTGTGTCCGTCTATACACCTACACGTGTACGTGCGTGCGTGTGCGTGCGTGCGTGCGTGTGAGCGCCAAACCACACGCGTGCGCGCGTCTGCCGGTACGCGAGTAGCTCCCACACGCACGGGCATCGCGTGTACGTGCGCGTGTGTGTGCGCGTGTGTGCGTGCGCGTGTGTGCACGCGTCCATTGCAGTGTCGTCGTCGGAAAATGGCGTGAACCGCGTGGAGTCTGTGCCATCTCATGCAGGTCAACCCACCCATGTACTCACCCACTCACCCATGTACTCACCCACCCACCCATGTACCCACCCACCCATGTACTCACCCACCCCCCATGTACTCACCCACCCACCCATGTACCCACCCACCCACCCATGTACTCACCCACCCACACCATGTACTCACCCACCCACCCATGTACTCACCCACCCACCCATGTACTCACCCACCCACCCATGTACCCACCCACCCACCATGTACTCACCCACCCACCCATGTACTCACCACCCACCCTGTACCCACCCACCCACCCATGTACTCACCCACCCACCCACCCATGTACTCACCCACCCACCCATCTGTTCACCCACCCACCCATGTACTCACCCACCCACCCATGTACTCACCCACCCACCCATGTACTCACCCACCCACCCATGTACTCACCCACCCACCCATGTACTCACCCACTCACCCATGTACTCACCCCCCACCCATGTACTCACCCACCCACCCATGTACTCACCCACCCCCACTGTACTCACCCACCCATGTACTCACCCACCCATGTACTCACCCA